TTTGAAAGTTAATGTGTAGTTAATTCATGTCACTTTATAGGATTGTCTCATGAATTAGTGTCTTAGGATCTTTGAAGCACTCCACAATTTCCCTTACCTGGAGTCCCTCACTTCTTTTCTGGCTATTCCATTAACTTTCTTTTTTTGGATCTCATGAATGTCATGTCAAGTGGTTAATAGAAAGATGGGGTTTAAAAAAAATTCTGTGCTTATGGAAATCTGAACTGACTAAGAATAGTGGGTAATAATTAGAACTACAAATAAAGAAGTGTAAATATCAGACTCCTCCTATTTCAGTATAATCTTCCCTGGTGTCTTTAAGTATTAGTTAAGTGCATGTAGGGGATATCATAAAATCTAAAGGTACACTTCAGGAACTGTTGTCAATTAATATTAATCAGAAGTTAATATTGGCACATCAGAAATTATATAATTTGTGCTAGTGTATTTGTAAAACCTCAAATTCTCCTCTCTAAAATAGACTAGGGAGAGGAGGAAAAATAATCCTGCTAATAACTTTACAGCATATAATCCTCTGCCCAACTATTTTTTGAAGCATCTATAACATTTTACATTCCCATAAGCAGTGTCTGAGAGTTCCAATTCCCCCACATCTTTGTCAACATTCCTTTTTTAATCCATCTTTTTGATATAGATGTGAAATTGGTATCTCATTGTGTTTTTGACTTGCATTTCCCTAATGGATGATAATGCTGAGCATCTTTGCATGTGCTTTTGGTCATTTGTTTATCTTTGTTGGAGATAGGCCCATTCAGATTTTTGACCCATTAAAACTTTTTATTGTGGACTTGGCACCTATGGCTCAAGTGGCTAAGGCGCCAGCCACATAAACCTGAGCTGGCAGGTTCAAATTTAGCCCGGGCTTGCCAAACGATAATGATGGCTATAAACAAAAAATAGTCGGGCCTTGCGGTGGGTGCCTGTGGTCCCAGCTACTTGGGAGAAGACTCGCTTGAGCCCAGGAGTCGGAGGTGGCTGTGATGCCACAGCACTCTACCCAGGATATTGAGACAGCTTGAGGCTCTGTCTCAAAAAAAAAAAAAAAAGTAAAATAAACTTTCTATTGTGGTAAAATATGCATAACATAAAACTTTGCCCTTTTTTTTTTTTTATTGAATGGTAACTATGTACATTAATGCACTTCTGGGGTACAGTGTGGGGTTTTCACATGCAATCCAAAATACTTCCATCAAACTGGTCAACGCAGCCTTCATGTCATTTTCTCGGTCATTGCTTTAAAACGTTCACATTCTACTCTTAGAAAGATTCACCTGTACCCCTATAAGACAAACCTCAGAAGTGATCCCTCCAACCCCCCTCCCTCCACCCATTCCCCCCTCCCTTCTCCCTCCCCCCACTTTGCCCTTTTAAGTGCCAGTTTTATTGGTATTTTAAACATTCACAGTGTTGTACAACCATCACTACTGTCCCTCTTGAAAACTTTGTCCCCCAAACAGTGGTTATGGCGCCAGCCACATACACCAAGGCTGGCGGGTTTGAGCCCGGCCAGGACTGGCTAAACAATGACAACTAAAACAAAAAATAGCCAGACACTGTGGCGGGCACCTGTAGTCCCAGCTTACTAAGAGGCTGAGGCAAGAGCATCTCTTGGGCTTTTAAATGATTCTCTTGCCTTAGCCTCCCAAGTAGCTGGGGCTATAGGCACCTGCCACAATGCCTGGCTTTTTTTGGTTGTAGTAGTTGTTTGGTGGGCCCAGGCTCGATTTGAACCCTCCCATGTATGTGGCTGGTGCCTTAGCCTTTTGAGCTATAGGCGCCAAGCCTAATATTCTGTTTTTTTTTGCAATATATCTTATCCATTCATGTGTAGATGGGTAGTTGGGGTGAGTTTTTAGTGTTTGGTTATTGTGAATAATGTTGCTATGAACATTGGCATTCAAGTGTCTGATTGAGTCTCTTTTAATTCTTTTGGGGATCTACCCAGAAGAAAGGGTAATGGGTTTCCTTTTTTTTCTTTTTCCTCTTCCTCTTTTTTTTCTTTCTTTTTCCTTCCCTTTTTTCTTTTCCTTCCTCCGCTCCCTCTTCTCCCCTCCTCTTCCCTCCTCTTCCCTCCTCTTCCCTCCCTTTTTCTTCTGTTTTCCACAGTGGCTACATCATTTACAGTAAGAACATACAAGGTTTCAATTTTTCTACACACTTGCCAGCTCCAATACTTGTTATTTTGTTTTTTAGATAATAATAACCAGCCTAATGGATGTGAAGTTTTATCTCATTGTAGTTTTAATTTACATTTCCCTGAGATTTGTGATGTTAGTATCTTTTCATGTGTTCTTTTGCCATTTGCATATCTTCTTTAGAGAAATGTATATTGAGCTACTTTGCTCATTTTTTTTTTTAATTTGGTTCTTTTTTTTTGCAGTTTTTGCCCAGGACTGGGTTTGAACCCACCACCTCCGGCATATGGGGCCTGCGCCCTACTCTTTTGAGCCACAGGGGCCGCCCCCGTTGTCTTTTTTTTGAGTTGTAGTTCTTTTACATACATTCTGAATATATTAGTATTATCAGAAGATTTCCAAATACTTCTATTTTGTGGGTTGCCTTTTCACTTTAGATAGTATCCTTTGATGCACAAGATGTTTGTTTGTTTGTTTATTGAGATTCATTGAGGGTACAAAGAATTAGGTTACACTGATTGGATTTGTTAGATAAAATCCCTCTTACAGTGTGTCCTGCCCCCAAGAAGTGTGCCATACATCATGATTTCTTGTCCCCCTTCCTCCTCCCCTCTCCTGGCTCCCTCATTTCCTTATGCCCCACCTTGTATTACCCTCC